TATATATATATATATATATATATATATATATATATATATATATTAATAAAAAAACAAGCCCCGCCCCGTAGAAGACTATTAAATGTCAGGTAAAAACCTAATTAATAAATGATTAACAAATATTGTAGAATGCTTAACAGCTTTGTAGTTCATGAACATTGTTATGAATGTATGTTGATCAACACTGGCTTTTCTAAGTATGTGTATGTGCACTGTAAATGTTTATTCTTTACTATTCTTTACATGTTTTATCTATTAATTTTTTCATTATTATGTCAGCAGAATCATAAATTATATTTTATATTCTTTGAAAAAATCTAAAATATCTTTTATCTTATTTTAAGTCACCACTCTTTGCCTAAATTCAGAACCTATGCACTTTGGGCATGAATATTATATAATATTGTTGTAATAATAACTAATAATAACGTTGGTTATGATGAAGTTTCACCAAAGGCTTTTTCATGGAATTGATTATAATTTCAGTTACTCTTCAGTTTCTGGGTCACCCTTATTTTGGATTGAACCTGCAACCTTAAGTTAGCCGTCAAGATCATTTTACATTAGGCAACTATGACCTGCTGTATCTGTTTCTGTATCTAGGAGGAACTGGAGCGTCTGAATGAGGCCAGTGAGGAGATCAACAAAATGGAACTGGAACTGCAAGTATGTGAAAGTTCAGAATGCTTTTGGAATTTTTTTTTCCTAACCTCAAGGACATTTGGGACTGTTATGCTTTTTTTTTTTTTTAAAGTATATACTAATTATTAAGCCTTATTGTCATTTAATAGACACTTTTAATGCAGCATACAGGACTAATCTCAGGTTTTAGGTAGACTGTACTTTGGATCAAACCTGCAAACCAGCCCAACTCGATAATTGAACGTTACGCAACCACATCCAGTGTTATTTCAGTATCATAAGATATTATAATAATTTTTTTTTTTATGTATATTTTGAATTAGTTTTTGTTTTTATATTTTGCATTCCAAGTTTAAAGTCTAAAGTAATTTTAATGTGTTTGTTATTTGTTGTAATGTAATTACAACAGGGGAAGTCGTGGCCTAATGGTTAGAGAGTCGGACGCGTAACCCAATGGTTGCGGGTTCGAGTCTCGTACCGGCAGGGATTGTAGGTGAGGGGAGTGAATGTACAGTGCTCTCTTCCAGCTTCAATACCATGACTGAGGTGCCCTTGAGCAAGGCACCGAACCCCCAACTGCTCCCCGGGCGCCGCAGCAAAAATGGCTGCCCACTGCTCCGTGTGTGTGTTCACGGTGTGTGTGTGTTCACTACTGTGTGTGTGCACTTAGATGGGTTAAATGCAGAGCACAAATTCCGAGTATGGGTCACCATACTTGGCCACACGT